CAGATCGTTAAGGTGCAGTGGTTTCTTCAATGAACTTCCATTTTTAATTTTATGCAACTTCTATTTATATTTTTATTCCACTTCCATTTTTATTCAATTTCCATTTCTATTCAATTTCCTTTTTTATTTAATTTCGAAATAGATCACAAAGATATAGTGGTTTCTTGAATGAACTTCCATGTTTAATTTTATGTAGTTTCCATTTCTATTTTTATTCAGCTTCTATTTTTATTTAATTTCCATCTCCATTCAATTTACTTTTTTATTTAATTTCCGCACAGATCGTGAAGGTGTCGTGGTTTCTTCAATGAACTTCCATTTTTAATTTTATGCAACTTCCATTTTTATTTTTATTACACTTCCATTTTTATTTAGTTTCCTTTTCTATTCAATTTCCTCTTTTTATTTAATTTCCAAATAGATCGTTAAGGTATAGTGGTTTCTTGAACGAACTTCCATGTTTAATTTTATGTAGTTTCCATTTCTATTTTTATTCAACTTCTATTTTTATTCAATTTCCATCTCCATTCAATTTCCTTTTTTATTTAATTTCCAAATAGATCGTTAAGGTGTAGTGGCTTCATGAATGAACTTTCATTCTTAATTTTATGCAACTTCCATTTTTATTTTTATTCCACTTCCATTTTTATTCACTTTCCTTCTTAATTCAATTTTCTCTTTTATTTAATTTCCAAATAAATCGTTAAGGTATAGTGGTTTCTGGAATGAATTTCCTTGTTTAATTTTATGCAGTTTCCATTTCTATTTTTATTCAATTTCCATCTCCATTCAATTTCCTTTTTTATTTAATTTCCAAATAGATCGTTAAGGTATGCTGGTTTCTTGAATGAATTTCCATATTTAATTTTTTGCAGTTTCCACTTCTATTTTTATTCAATTTCCATCTCCATTTAATTTTCTTTTTTTATTTAATTTCCAAATAGATCGTTAAGGTATAGTGGTTTTTTGAATGAACTTCCATTTTTAATTTTATGCAATTTCCATTTTTATTTTTATTCAACTTCCATTTTTATTCAGTTCCCTTTTCTATTGAATTTCCTTTTTTATTTCATTTCCAAATAGATCATTCAGGTGCAGTGGTTTCTTGAATGAACTTCCATTTTTATTCAATTTCCTCTTTAATTGAATTTCCAAACAGATCGTTAAGGTATAATGGTTTCTTGAATGAACTTCCATGTTTAATTTTATGCAGTTTCCATTTTTATTTTTATTCAACTTCTATTTTTATTCAATTTCCATCTCCATTCGATTTCCCATTTTATTTAATTTCCAAACAGATCGTTAAGGTGTAGTCGTTTCTTGAATGAACTTCCATTTTTAATTTTATGCAACTTCCATTTTTATTTTTATTCCACTTCCATTTTTTTTCAACTTCCATTTCTATTCAATTTCCTTTTTTAATTAATTTCCAAATAGATATTTAAGGTATACTGGTTTCTTGAATGAACTTCCATGTTTAATTTTATGCAGTTTCCATTTCTATTTTTATTCAACTTCTATTTTTATTAAATTTCCATCTCCATTCAATTTCCTTTTTAATTTAATTTCCAAATAGAGCTTTAAGGTATAGTGGTTTCTTGAATGAATTTCCATGTTTAATTTTATGCAGTTTCCCCTTCTATTTTTATTCAATTTCCATCTCCATTCAATTTCCTTTTTTTATTTAATTTCCAAATAGATCGTTAAGGTATAGCGGTTTCTTGAATGAACTTTCATTTTTAATTTTATGCAACTTCCATTTTTATTTTTATTCAACTTCCATTTTTATTCAATTTCATTTTCTATTGAATTTCCTTTTTTAATTAATTTCGAAATAGATCGTTAAGGTATAGTGGTTTGTTGAATGAACTTCCATTTTTAATTTTATGCAACTTCCATTTTTATTTTTTCTCTACTTCCATTTTAATTCAATTTCTTTTTCTATTGAATTTCCTTTTTTATTTAATTACAAATAGATCGTTAAGGTGTAGTGGTTTCTGGAATGAACATCCATTTTTAATTTTATGCAACTTTCATTTTTATTTTTATTCCACTTCCAATTTTATTCAATTTCGTTTTCTATTCAATCTCCTTTTTTTATTTAATTTCCAAGTAGATCGTTAAGGTATAGTGGTTTCATGAATGAATTTCTATGTTTAATTTAATGCAGTTTCCATTTCTATTTTTATTCAACTTCTATTTTTATTAAATTTCCATCTCCATTCAATTTCCTTTTTAATTTAATTTTCAAATAGATCTTTAAGGTATAGTGGTTTCTTGAATGAATTTCCATGTTTCATTTTATGCAGTTTCCACTTCTATTTTTATTCAACTTCTATTTTTATTCAATTTCCTTCTCCATTCAATTTTCTTTTTTTATTTAATTTCCGAATAGATCGTTATGGTATGGTGGTTTCTTGAATGAAGTTTCATTTTTAATTTTATGCAACTTCCAGTTTTTGAAAAATCTAGAAACCTCCTAGATGTTGATTTGTGATTATGTATCAATTTTAAGCAGAATATAACAATCCCAATCAAACAATCAAGACAAAGAGACACAACGATTTTACGTGGAAAAACCACAATTGGACACCTCCAATTGTGATAAAAAAAACCACGGGCAACAGCCACAAGAACAATCCACTAAGAAGATTTAAAGGAATTACACAGGTATACTCTCAATTATCTAGCGAATCCACAACGCCTAATTGAACCAACCTCTATGTGCCTCTTCCAACCTCATCTTCACCACGGAATTGTCTTTCTGATGAGCCACTCCAGAATCCACCGAAGCTTCAAGCTCGAATTCTTCAGAATCTACCGAAGAACAACTCTCTCTTTTGTGTAGAACAAACAAAACCTTTGATGTATTTGTTTTAAACCATGAGTTGAATACTCAATAAGACATAAAAAAAAACTAACAAAATATCCCCAGATATAAACCTTAAGAGCCAAAAAGAAGATCTGGAGGAAAAAATAATGAATAGTCTAGTTTTGGGAGAAAACCAACTACTTATAGAAAATCCAAAGTAATCCTGTTTTTGGAAGAAAACCAACTTCTTAAAGGACTCCAAAGTAATTCTAGTTTTGGAAGAAAATCAACTTCTTAGAGAAATCCAAAGTAATCCTAGTTTGACCCAACATGTGAATTTAAAAAATTACAACCTTGGGTTTGATCCATGGAATTTGACAACAAAGAGTCCTAACAATCTCCCCCTTTGTCAAATCCTGGACAAAACCATGCTACAACAGTTTTCCTAACAAAAACACTAAAACAATTTTCCAATCAAAACAAGAACAACACCACCAACTAGACACCAGCACTTATAACCAAATCTCTTTACAAACTTATTTCTCAAGGTCATGATCTGCAAAACAACTATTAGTCCCACAAGAGTATATGAAAAAGCAATAAACATATGGCTAGATTATCTTGAAGTATGAGATGAAAAACATAAATAGATGAAAAATAAATTTCTCCCCCTGTTTGTCACGAATTAACAAAGGAATCTCAAATAACTAAATCAAGATCAAAACCCATATAAGCAATGACATGATAACGATTAACCGAACTCCCCCTCACTAAAAGCAACCAAAAACACTAAAAACAGTGAACTGGAAGAAAACAACAAAAATGATATGGTGGAGCAAGCAAGGAATTTTTGATTTGTATCTTGAAACACACAAGATTATCCAAAAAACACAATTACAAGAAAACACAATGTGCACAGCCTTTAGAAAATTCCCCATAAAAGAAAGTGATGCATTATGTGAAAAGCATAGATCCCATGAGAAAAGTGTGTGTGTGACTCTTGGAGTTCGACAAACACTAGATTCAATCCTAGTAGTGATCTGAAAGTTGGACCTCCGACAAGAGAATCTAAGCACAACAAAGGAAAGTCAAACCACTAGGAATCAAGGGGTATTTGGTGAGTAAAGGTGGAGGCTCCCCCTCAATCAATGAATCTTTTTCCTTTTTTTTTTTCACACACTTTTTCTTTCTTTTTCACATTTTTTCTTTTCTTTCTTGTGCATATTTTTCCTTTTTCTTTTCCTTTTTCTTTTTTCTTTTTCTTTTGCACAATCATTGGCGGCTGACACGCTCAAGAGTATGGAAACCGAACCAGAGAAGCATGGATATAATAAGGATGGCCTGGTTGGTGACTCTGAGATAGCCTTTTCCTCATGGATAGACTGCAAAGAATTAAGGGGAAAACCATGGAGATGCAAAAAGATGGTAGGTGGTTAAGAGACTCAACATCACCCATGATATGCTAGTATAGGTCAATTCCTCTAGAAAAGCAAAAGATGCAATGCCAGAAATCCATAAAAAAATAATCACTAAGGCGGAAGACTCCATATATTTGCTAATCCAAGAGTGTGTACAGAATGAGACATACTAATCAAAAAACACACACTCCAAAATGAGTAATGACCACAGAAAGCACACACATATTAACAGATAATGGATATTCTTATCAATTCCAATATGTACCAATGACCACTCAAAAATTTCAAGCTTGCAAAACCATTCTAAGAAAATCTTTTTGGGATTTTTTTTTTTTCAATTTTTTTCTAACTAAAGCAAGACAAAAAAAAAATGAACAAGCACACATGCAATGAAAAAAAAAAAAAACGTAGAAACCCAAAAACTAAATGACAAAACAAATTAACACAAGTCAAGTTTTCTCACCTTTTTTATTTTTGGGTTTGGTGAGGTTAGCTTCAGACTGGAGTCATGAATATTTTGTATTTAAAAACATAAATTAGTAATGATCATGTCATCAGTGGCACCAAGATCACCAGATGAACAGAAAAATGGTGGAAATGTAACTTTCACCTGTAGTTTCAACATGTTGGCCTTGACATTGGTTCCTTATGAGCAGCTTGTATTTTGCATACGTTTTTCGATAAGAAGGAAATGTTTCCCAATCATCTAACCACAAAAAGAGGGACAAGCATTTGTCGTTTGCCCTTGAATCTCCTTTGGGATGGAGCTGTAACTTCCTGGTTTTGTTATAGGAAGTCATAAAAAGCAGTTAATTGTTAGATTATCAATCTGCTTATTGTAATTGAGAGGAGCGAAGTTAATGATTGCATACCACTTCCGATTTCCAATCGTGAAGACTTTAGAATAATGAGTTTTGCCATCTAGAGATGAGAAGTTATCAATCTTCCAAGTGTACGTACTGTCAAGTCCCTTCAATACAGTTAGACACTCTCCTCTGCCATTATAATTTATAACAAGAACTTCAGCCCCAAACACGCAAGTGTCGTGGATGAGGTATCCATTAGCAGCATCATTAAAAGTACCAAGTGGGAGTAATTGGGCAAAACCCCACTTGGTTTTCATCCTATGAAAGCGTCTAACCTTCCCATTGGCATCTGAGCATTGGAATGGAATAAAATCAGGGGTGTAGAGTAATGCACGAGGACGAAAATTTAAAAGCCTTACCCATGTTCAAATGAGATTAAATAGTTACTAAAGAATCTAACTACCTTGGATGGTCATGTACTTGTCTTGAATCTGATCATACACAAACAATTTGAAGTTTACATTGACCTCCCAACCAAGAGGTAACTCACTAGTCTCAGTGATTACCAAGTATAGAGAGATGTGTCCTTCCCCATTTCTTTCTTTATCACCATTTGGGTGGAGACACAATTTCCTTTAACGCGAAAGAAGAGTCAGCTTATATATACGTCTTAATTGGAATGAAAAGAAAAACTACACAAAAAATATTTTATTAAGTACTCAACCATTTGTAGCCACCGGCTTCAAAAATATCTGATTCATAATTCTGCACTTCAGCATCCAACAATAACTGTGCGAGTTCTGAGAATGACTCAATCTTAAGAGTGTAGTGAGCTGGCGGTATATCTCTCAGCGATCTTGCTATATCTGCAAAATGTTAAAGAAAACTAATTTGTTCTGTATTTGTATAATTCAGCCTATGATGCATGGGTTCTTTTAAATATATGAAATACTCGTGTCACACACATGACGTCATAAAGGTTCTACTTGAATAAATTGCGAAAAGAAGTCATCTTTTTCCATGGCAATAATAATTAAAGAATCTCACTGTTTGCATAATGGGAAAAACACAACATAAAATAATAACAAATATAAAGTCATAAGAGTAGAGACTTTATTCTTTCTTGATCACACCTTACACTTAGCCTCTTCAACACAAACATATATATATATATATATATAGAAGCTCATAACCGACTCGACAAAGTCAGCAAAGAACAAGAAACTTTTTTTTTTATAAAAACTTTAAAGCCATTTCATCTCATCATGTTTTTCAATTCTTCTGCATGCTTCTACTAATTACCATTTGTCTTTTACCAAATACAAGGGGCAGTGGAGGAGTTCTAACTCCTTCCATATGTTTTTTTTATTATTAAATAAATTTCACAACATATATTAAATAAGTTATATTTACAAAGTATAATTTTTGAATATTAAAATACCTTGTGCATAAAATATGCACCAACAGTATGTATGTATGTATGTATGTATTTACAGTATAAATGTTGTTAACAGTACTAGTAAAAACTTGGGTATTACCCTATATAAAATCAAAGAGTCTCTTGAATACTTCTCATTCTCAATCACCAAACAATTTGTTGATTAGCTTCATAATTTCAGCATGACAATCAGTTAAATTTTTATAAAACCCATTGAACCCAAAACACAAAACCCTAGTCGTTTGAGGAAGGCACAACAATGTTCAGAGGAAAGGAATGCAGGGGCGGAGACGATGACAACAAAATGGGGGCTTTTTTCCATTTTCTTGGCTCAACCACTGATTGGTGGCCTGTAAAAGATGGCTTTTACGGATCATCCGTATAGAACTTAATCTCCAGACACAGATACAACACTATATATATGTATATGTAGAGAGAGAGAGAGAGAGAGAGAGAGAGAGAGGTACCAGAGTTGGCATTGTGAAGAGGAGGAATAGGATGGCATGATTTCTCTTCTTCCATGTTGTCTGCAGCCTCTCAACAGGATTTGGGAGAACACTTCATTGCTAAAGTCTACTGCATAGTCTCCGCACCGAAGCCAAGCTTTTATAAAAACCATTTGCCGGGTGGGTGGCAAAAAAGCAAACCCATTCATATGAAAAAATAAAAATAAAAAATTGCACCACGTAGAACGTGGGGTTGTTTAACTTTTATTTGTTAGCGATACTGCTTAAATCACTGAATTTTTATTTTACTTTTAGGTGGTAGTTCCAAACACGGTAGAGCTGCAAGCTTAATTCCTAAGTAATATTTTAACTTTATAATAATAAAATAAATTATAAACACATCTTTTAAAATTTATTTAAAATATAAATTGTCCATTATAGTTTTAGAAATTATAAATATTTTATTATCAATTTTTTATTTTATAATTTTGAATGATGTCAGAAATATATTTCAATTAACAATTTTGATAATTTACTATGGGGAATTTTTTTTAAAGTTCCTAATAATAGTAATTTAGATGATAAAGGATACAAAAAAAAAAAAGGGGATGATGCCCTAGGTCCCTCAATTAAGAACGCGCGCTTTTTATTTACTTCTTGAACCAACATACCCTTCACAATCAACCGAGAAACTGAACTACATTCCGACGACTCAGTTCCAGTATTGATATCCAACCATCTTCATGAGCAAAAGAAGAGCAGAATTAGGATTTCACAATCATCTTCACTATCGACATTACGGTTTCATTATCTTTTGTGAAAATCTTTTTCATTCTTTCCTCACAAATTTCTGTAACCCGTTTTCACTGTTTATCGTCATCTCAGTTCATCTTCATCATAGTCATCTCAAGGCATATCAGTTTGTAATTTCGATTTTATCCTCACTCTGGTAAGTTTTTCTACAATCCAATGAGTTTTTCTCTGGAAACACAGTTAATTGCATTTTATATTAGCCTTCCATTAATTAGGGTTTCAATTTCTTAATAAAAGCTACATGAATTTGAAAATTGTTATTTCTCTGCATTTTGAACATTTTATTGAAGATTGTAGTGTGATTTTGAAAAATGTGATTTTGTTTGTAAATTTCTCTGGCATTTGCTTGATCTAAGTTTCTCCTTTGAATTTTATCTGGCATGTTTATTCCCCCATTTGTTTTTGTTTATTCCCCCATTTTCTCTAGCATTGTTAATTTCTCTGTATTTCTCTATGTAATTTTGAAGTTCAATTCATTCAAATTTCTCTGGTTGTGTGAACTTCTCTGAAAATGTAAATTTTCTCTTGTCTATGTCTAATTTTCTTTGGCCACATTACTTTTCTCCCTTCTGTGTGCCTGTCATGTTTAATTTTCTTTGGTTGTCTATAATTTTCTCTGGCATTTTAATATTTTGTGACTTGCTAAATTTATGTTTCTTTTTTGCAAATTTGTCTGTCATGTTTATTTTGTTCAATTCTTATTTTCCTCCAAATTTCGTTGTCATGTTTATGTTGTTGAGATGAATTTATCTAGGAATGGAAATTTTCTCTTGTTTATGTCTAATTTTCTCTGACATTTATAATTTTTTCTAGCCACATTACTTTTCTCTCTTTTGTGTGTCTGCCATGTTTAATTTTCTTTGGTTGTCTGTAAATTTCTCTGGTATTTTAATATTCTGTGGCTTGCTAGATTTATGTTTCTTTTTTGAAAATTTCTCTGTTATGTTTATTTTGTTCAATTCTTGGTTTCCTCCAAAATTCTCTATTGTGTAATTTTTTGTGGCATATTTATGTTGCTTTGTTTGTTTTCTCTTGCTAATTGTGGAATGGAAATTTTCTCTGTCTTGCCATGTTTAATTTTCTCTGGCATGTGTAATGTTCTCTGGCATTTTAATTTTCTGTGGCTTGCTACATTTATGTTTCTTTTTTGAATTTTCTCTGGCTATATTTTACTTCTATATATAATTTTAGAAATTATTAAAAATTTCTCTAGCATGTTTATTGTCACGACCCCATTTCGCCCCTAGTAGAATGGTGCCTTGATGGCTAGTAATCCGAGATTACCAAATGCCAACTTACAAAGTCACACACAATCAGAGTATACATATGGGGCTTACATGTGCGGAACCAATAAATTTAAATCTAATTCGTCCATAAGAGTTGTGTATAAATCAAATGAAATGACATACATCATGATATAGTTTACAGCTTGAATGCAAATAAAGTAAAGTGCATGTTACATCTTGATCAAAAGGCTTCTCAAGCCGAAATATACAAAAGACATGAATTACAAACTAAGAAGCATAATCTTCAAGATGCTAGCAAAACATGATTCCAAAACAACTTGCAAATAACATCTAGGCATCACCGCCTTCTTGCTCGTCACCTACATATATATAAGGAGAGGGTGAGCTTGGATACTCAGTGAATGATATTAGTAATAAAGGTTTGAATGATTGATATTCGAGATCTTTATCAAAACAATACATAGCATATCTTGTACAAAATCAAGGGACGAACCAAGTTCATCTATCAAGTCTTTCAAAGCTTCAAGGGATGCTTACTAGCATCAATATAATACAAGGGATGACATTCCTGACAAAAGAAGGAAATAATCGACCCGGAATCGATTAGACAAACCCACCCGCACAAGGCCGTCGGTGGCAAGGGAGATATCTTAAACAAGGGTACTAGTTGCATTATAGTCCCCTAGCACTAAGAACTTTACAAAAATGTCATCAAAACAAGATAGTACTTGATACAAAACTAGGAATAATCATTCATACTTGAACAAACACTTTTCCAAAACGAAACAAGCAAAGCTTTTATCAATCATTAGAACATAGCTTTATTAAAAATACCACTCACATAGCTCTTCGGGTGTAGGGCTTAAGGCAAGAATCCAAGACCTACAAATACATGGCAAGGTCCACTGAATGTATTTCAAGAAGACAAGAAGGAATGCTCAAAAGAAGGCTATGCAATGCATCCCTAAAACATGCTTTACATGAGAGTAAACGATCCCGGCATTTCTTTCAAAACTAAGTCAAGACAAAGCAAAACATGTGCTGGGAGTTAAAACGCTGTTTTTCATCTCGGAAAAACATGCTGGGTACCAACCAAGTCTTGGCCGAGGTCCCACATCTCTTGGCTGAGGTATGGTCCCGGTGACCACATTCAGGGAAATGAAGCCTGGAAAATCTGGGTTTCCTTTTGAAGAACATGAAGAACATGAATGCAAAAAATCATAATTTCTTTATTCAAAATCTGAGATTTCATGATATGAGTTCAAAAACATGGACCTGGGTACCCATACTTGAAGATTCCATGAAAACAAACACAAAAACATTGAACTTGTTATAAACTTTCGGATCAAAACGTGGGTTTTCTTGAAGAACACAAGAACATCATTTTCTCTTTCTAAAACAACTTTAAATCAATGCATGGCTCATGAATCATGCTGGATCATGCAATGTGATCATATATATACAAAGAATAGCTAGAGAAGATTAAGATTCTAACCTCAAAACACAAATCAAACGGTTCAAACTCTAAGAATCAAGCTTGGAAATCTGCTTCTCTCTCAAGGACTCCTTCTTCCTCTTTCTAGAGCTTCTCTCTCTTCTAGGGCAAAGATATATAGCAAATGATATGTTTTCTCAACTACCGCCTGACTTAACCCTCTGCTGGGACACGTGACAACGTCTGGTTGGGTTTTCTCAAAAAATGATTGAATGATAAGACATGAGCATGACAAAGGGTGTACAACAAGTAAGGTGATAAGGGCACTCTGACAAGGCAATGACCTCGGATTAGGACACAGGCTTTGGGCAAGAAGGTTTCAATGATCTCGGCTAGGAAGAATAACACTCGGCCTAGCTGTGCCACACCTCGGTCTAGGTCATACCAGTCCAGGAACAAGATCACTAGGTGAAAGGATCAAGGATGTTGGATGCCTAGATGGTAACATCTCGGCCTAGATGATACACATCTCGGCCTAGGTGATGCACACCTCGGCCTAGATGATGACATCTCGGCCAATATGCTAGGGTGAAAGTAGAGGTCAACCGAAGTGGTTCCAAGGTGGTCCTAGGTGTAAGAGGTTCAAAGGAGTGACCTAGGCTTAGCGCACCAAGCAAGGAACAAAGCATACAAGCAATACTCAAGCAAATCACATAAGCACAAAACGAGACAGGGACCTTTACTTTAGGCAAAACAAGTCAAAATCTACAAATGGAAGCTTAACAAAACAAAATCATGCACATGCACATGAACATGGCTAAGACGAGGATGAGGGTCATTACATTTATGTTGCTTTGTTTATTTTCTCTAACATCTAATTTTCTGTGTCTAATTTTCTCTAACATTTATAATTTTCTCTGGCCACCTTAGTTTTCTCCCTTATGAGTAATTTTCTCTAACATGTTTAATTTTCTCTGGGATTTAATGTTGACATCTTTATGTTTTCATTGTCTAGAAATAGAAAAACACAAAAACAACAAAACACCAGAAACACCAACGAAGAAACAGAAACTCTCTGAGTTTGGAAATTATGATCTTAGATCAAAAGGTAGCAAAACACCACAAACTCCTTGCCAAAAATAGAAGTCCAAGTTGAAGAAACAACAAGCATGAAGATGAATACGCCAACTTCAAACGACTCAAGCTCAAATGGGAAAAAACCTGTTAAACTCCAAAGGAAAAGAACTAATTACAACATTCAATTATGATCAAACCTATCATATGTTGTCTCCTTTTTTCAAACACTTAAATTCAATTCAAACCAAGTTGTAGAGCTTCAAAAGACCCCATTCTGGTATTTGATCCAAGCTCTAACAACGGGAATGATGGATCCAAGGAAATGTAGAAAATCAGATGATGATGTAGTTGCAATCATCCAAAGATACAATGAAAAAACAAAAGCATTCACAATTGGTAAGAAGAGCTTGACCTTTACAATCAATGACATGACCTTGATTTTTGGTTTGGAAGGTGGACAAGACGCTATGTCATTAAAATACTCAAAGAAGCCAAACACGCCATTCCTAAGGCGAAGATTCCTAAAGGAAACAAGGCTCACTGGTCCTGTTTTAAAAAAGGCATTGATCAAAGCAATTAAAGGAAAGCAACCACATGACTTCAAA